GCTCGACGCACTCAAGAAGCTGGGTCGTATGGAGGAAATGGATATGCGATTCCAGGAGCTGCCAGCCAAGGAGCAGAGTCGTGCAGACGTTCAGAAGCTTATGGACAATTGAACAAAGGCATTGTGATAGAAACTCACACAACTCTTCCTCGTTACCTCGTTATAGAAATCAAAAACGTCGGGGAATTCTACCTCCTAGACATCCGACACTATTTCACAAGTATACCGATGCTCTTACAAGACGGTGGTGTTGTGGTTGGTCGCGGTCATAAGGACCGAGTGGTCTGTGGGGCCATCGCGCATGGTGTTGAGGACGGGCGTCTTGTTGTCCATCTCGTCGAACGCCTGCTTCTTCTTCCGGATCACCACGATGGCGGCCACGGCGATCATACCCACAGCTGCACCGATGCACACAACAACATAGGCAGTGCTTCCAGAGCTGCCCTCAGAGGATTGCGTGTTGGCCTGCTGGACTGCTCCATTGTCATTGCTCGTCTGCATGACCGACGAAGGAGTGGTCTGTACACCTCCCTTCTCGTACGAAGCAGGCGCGGGGGTGACGCTAACCTGCGTGGTGGGCTTACTGCCTGGCTCATTGTCAACATCACTGCCGGACTTGTCGCCCACATCCACGCCACTGGAGCCGGAGGTCTCGTTGTGAGCACCGACCTGGCCAACAAAGTCGTTCCACTGGCTGGCACCGGCATCGTCATCATCCGTAGCAGAAACACTCGAAGCCGACGGCGCCTTAGTGGGAGGCATTGTGGGTGTTTCGGTTGGAGGAAGCGTGGGCGCTTCAGTGGGAGGAAGCGTTGGAGCTTCAGTAGGAGGAGGCGTAGGAGCTTCGGTCGGTGGTTGAGTAAGAGCTTCGGTGGGCGGTTGAGTAGGGGCCTCGGTCGGTGGCTGAGTAGGAGCCTCCGTAGGGGGCTGCGTCGGTGCTTCTGTCGGAGCTTGGGTGGGCGTGGCCGTCGTGGGTGTCGGTGCAGTGTACTGCTGCACAGTGTTCTGGGCCTCGTTTCCAACCTGGTTGACGGTCTGGTCAACCGTCTGCGTCGCACCCGAGGACCCACCTGGGCAGAACGTCACGGTGAAGTCAACCGAGCTGGGGCAGGAGTGCGTCTTAGTGTCGTCCGCCGGGTACTGGTAGGCGTCATTGCAACCATTCTCCATGCACGTGAGTGACACACAGCGACTGCCGTCCGGCTGGCTTGGCTCGATGTTCATGGCGACGTTGAAGCCGACACCACCCGTGACATCCATGCATTCCTCCAGACTACCACAGTTGCCGGGGCCCTGCTTCTCACCCGTTGGGATAATACTGATGTCGTACCAAGCAGCATTGTTGTCAGCCGAAAACTCAGCCAGCGTTGCCTGGCCGCCCGTGCCCTTGCGGTACACGTAGGCACCGCCAGGGGAGACCGTGCGCGTGCTGGAGCCGCCAGGTTGGAGCTTCTCCGTAGTCTTGGAGTCGAACACGTCGATGGATTCGGAGCAGGAGTTCACGAGGGTGACCTCAAAGGCCTGAGCCTGGGCAAATAGACCAAGGGCCACAGCCACCACGGCACTCATGGAAGAGTGCCAAACCATGTTTTTCAGGATGTACTTTTCAGTTGGAATGTAATACGCGGAGGCTGCGAAGACCTTCCGTGTGCTTCTCTCTCTGTCGGTAAAACGTAGAGTGGGGGACTAACCATCATGAGCAAACGCGCTTGAGCCTCGAGATGCGGGAAGGCAGGGTGCAATTGGTGCCTCCCCATTGTAGTGTCGGAACGGCATGATAAGTTCCTCTACAATACCAGTAGTCAAATTGAGTCAAAAATTGGACAGCAAACCATCTCCCGAGATAATCTCGGGCACAGCAAAGCCATCGAACTGCAAGATAAACGCGTTATCGTCCTTTTGTGCTGTGCGAGAGCTCTTCGAGACGGGCGTGTCCTTACAATCAGCATGCAGACTCTTCTCTCCACCGAAGAGAGTACGTAAAGGTCGAAACCTGTGGCCGTTTGCATCGTGAAGTAAAGGGATCCCTTCGGGGGGAGATACAGTACCATTATGTATATATTTTTATTTTACATACCGTTTTAAGTTTCTTACCCCTATGGAGTGCAAGCTCTGTGTGTACAGGGTCGGTGTTGGTGACTAGCAAGCACTCATTGAAAACCCCGGTGTTGTGGAGTGCCGCTGCCGCTACGCCACCCGAACCGAAAGTTCGTTCGAGTCGACTCAAAGCGTCATCAGTCTACCAAGAAAGTATTGGACGATCACTCGGTCTGAACAATGCGGTCGTTCTCAAGCTTCTCTTCCAAGCTAAGCGACGTACCACGCACTTTCTTCTTCAGCTACATCACGCGAAACTCTCCAGTCAACACTTGACATCCTTTGGCGACCAAAACGACCCACATAGCTTGGAACCGGTCGGTCAATGGCCCATCGTCATGTAGTTCACTCTCATTCTGCAGCTTAAACATTGCCGGTCGATAAAAGCATTTTTATGTTGGAACATGGCGGCGCAATGATAGATCCGGGCTCAAAGCCCATGCAATGGATAGCAGTTCCAGTCGGCAGTACTGAAACTTCCACCTTGTACCCGTGGAGATTACGTTTGCCCTGATATCCCTCTTGACTAGGTTAATTGTCCCCTAACGCGATCTGCGTGCTGGAATGTAGCACCGGTGACATATCGAGCCGCGGATAATGCGTGAAGGTGTGTCGATGCCGTCAACTGCTTCATTGTCCAGCACTTCTCGTTCAGTACAAAGATTTCGTACAGTAATGGCTCTAACACGACTAGAAACTTCTTGATCCTATTCTGGATCTTCTGGAATGGAGACGAATCCATGTCAAACATCGCAGAGACGGTGTCCTAGCTCCCGCATTTCTTGAGAGCGGCGAGCAGCATTAACAGAAGTTCTTTAAGGGATTATTGGCATTTCTTACCCCCTGCCAACGGCCATCCATCGTCTCCCAGAGATGTCTAACGTTTAGACATTAGACTCTAAACCGATATTAGTTGCACCTTAGAGGCACACGGTTTGACCCCTGAACTCATAGACACTGGTCGTATTTGGACGGCGGTGGTGTCGCGATTGAGAGGAATAACAACGCGAGCTAAAGCGCACTGTCGTTTCTCTTCTTCGACAAACAGCAGAGCTTCATCATCATCCTCCTCTTGAGTGCACTCACCGTCATTTCATTCTTACTAAGCGCGGCAGGAAAATTAATGGTGATAAAAGTTATTAATACATACAGTATATGAGTGCCTTCATTTTTATCAAATAGGTGCATGTACTACAGTAATTCCCAGAATAGTATTCTGAGAATACACTGCTACGTGCTATCCTCACGTAGCAAAATACACATACATTTCTATGTATAGTTTAACATGTATCGCATATACCATGTAGATCTCTGCTGAGGAGTTCTGGCAAGATGCCTAAACAAAACCTTTCGCGTCGAGTCGCGCGTTCTGTGTACAGGCACTTGGCAGCATCTGTGTTGGTCGAACGCTGCTGTGCCGTAGTGTTCAATCTGGTCGAAACGCTATTCGACCACGATGCCGTCGTTGTGTTCCGATGTCTTCCGACTGCAGCGTCCAAGACAACAATGGCATCTTTCATTCGTTAGTCGCATCGTATTCCTGCACTATTCACCTCAAATTCAGGCCACGTGCGAGCAAAACTTTGAAAGCGAAGCAGCGACAACATTTCGACTGCAACAGCTGCAACCCCCTGACAATTGCTTTGTCCCGACTCACATGTCAGTGGCCATAATTTCGTTGTGGGCACGGTAAGCGCTCGAACTTGGACACGGTATCCTTTACCTTGATAAACGGAAAGTATGTGTTCTTGACCGTCGGAACCATTCCAGAGTGCACCCATTTGTCAACATTAAGCTCTCCATTCAATGTTCGCATTCCCGGCATGTACGGACGACCAGATCGGAGATCAGCTCAAAAAGCTCCAAGTCGAGCAAGGTGCAGTGAAAATCAATGTGGGTCACAATGATCCCCATCCCACGAGATTATCCATGCAAACCATCTGACTCAAGGCATTCGAAGCAACGCCCAGTTGTTGCACCCCTTGCTGCAGTCGCTTCCATGTCATCGCGTTATATTCGGAGCGTGGAGGACAAATCCTGAGCCCGCTCTTGCAAGGTTTGAGGCACTTTGATGCCATCATCTCCGGACTCGGAAGGCTTCGAGGAGGGCACTCACCGTTTTTAGTTGGAAAGTTCGTCGAGTATCGATCGGGGTACGACGAGATGCCGGCGACCCGGAACTATGGGACTCCGCGGAAACAGCAGTCGCGCGGGGACTTGTCAGCGTCAATGGCGGTGAACGGAGCCAGCTCAGCTTCTGTTGCAATGTTGAACGCCAGCTACAGCTACGAAAGCGGAGAGAGTAGCGCCGTGTATGAATACAACAGCCAGCGCAGCGAGGAACCGTCTTGGGACGGGTATGGAGACCACCCGAGCTCACTGCGTCGACGACCGCCGGCCGTTGAATCCATGATGGAGTCGGCTCGATTGAGTGATAAGCGATTGCACGAAGTGGCTGCTGCGGCTGCTTCCAGTGTGAACTGGGGCGAACTCGACATGGAACTGGCTGCAGCGAGTCTTAGTGAAAAGCACGAAAGCGTCTGGAAGCGAAAGAAGCTCCCGCGAGGCTACACGAACAGCGACGCTATGAAGCTCTTCACTCGTCTCACAATTCGTGACCGTCGACATCAAACGCGTTGGGGACCCAAAGGGTTCGCTGTTCTAGCAGAGGGATCTCTACCTTGCACCGTGCAGGAAATGCGTCTTGTGTTTCGCGTAGCTTCCACTGACATGTTTCGTGATATGATGCGCTGTATTTACCGTCGGGAATTTGTCGAGGGCGAGCTCTTGCGTACGATCAAGATACAGCGAGGAGCTGGAAACCCAGCGAGAGCATTCGAGAACAGAGAGTTATCCGTCAAGACTGCAACTTTCGAAAGCGGAAGCATGTTCTCCAAGAACGAATCGTGGTGCTTTCTGGAGTTGCTGCATCCTCGTAACCGAGCAAAAGAAGAGCAGTCGGCACGAAGAACAGCTTCGTCCACTGCCAGCGCGGTTAGCGCCACGCCTCCGCCGGCTTTCACACGAACACTTGTATCCATCGCACGTTCCAGTGTCGTCCTGGATAACGCACTTACACCGCCGCCGCGTTCTCCGCCGCATGTACCGAATGTCGTCATCAATTACTCGTTCGAAGAAGATCCCAGTGGTCGAGCCACTCGCGTGGTTTTCCACGGCGAATATTTGCCACCGGATGCTCACGATGCGTTCAAACGTGCAGGCCACGAACGACGTGTAGCGCGTCTCTGGATGCTTCGTCTTGCTGCGAGTTGTCATCGATTCCTTCTGGTTGTACGACGACGTCGACTTGGAATGCAGGTCATCATCAACAGCACGCGTCTTCCACTCGAGACCGTCGCCAATGTCCCTCGTTGTGCTTGTTGCCGTCGCTCGTTCTCCAAGTTCTTCAAACGCACAAGAAAACGCTTGTGCTGTCTGTGCGGCTTCCTTGTCTGTGAGAAGTGCGCACACGCCCAAGAGCGCGAACACCGAGCGCGTGGTGATACCCGTCCACAGATCGAACAGGTTCGAGTGTGTGAACGCTGCCTCGTTCGTGTGGATCGAGCTCGATACACCGCAGTAACCGAGGAAGATCTGCGTCCAGCGCGAGTGATTTCAGACTCGCAGTCTCCGATTGGCCGTGCGAACAGTACTCCAGGTGGCAGTCTTCGTGGCGTTGGCTCTCGACGCACTCGACCCACACTGAAGACACGTCCGGCGTCTTTAAATGATCTGTTGCTTGAGACCTTGGCAGACGCAACCGCAGGTGGCGAAGCTCAACGCAAACGTAAAGCCAGCGTGTTGAGTGTCATGAAGGATATTGTAGACGAAGAGCGCGCTCGGAGACGATCAAGCACTGCAAGGATCCGTAGTGCGTCAGCAGGAGTCTCGAAAAGGGGATTGCCTTTACTCGGGGAACGTGACGAAGAGACTGACGATGGAGAAACTGAACAAACCGACGACGAACCAATTGATGATGTGGAGCGTCTCAAACGAATGTGGGGCGAGTCGCCACGCTGGGAAGACGACTATCCGCTTGCTAATGCCGACTCGAGAAGCTACCAGATCGAGTTTCCTCAAGACCCGATGGAAGCGATCATTCCACCGATCCCTTCTAACGAGTATAAGCGTCTAGAACTCATCCGCCGACAGCAGCTGAATGAACTCGGCGACGTACCTGAACTTGGCATCATCTGCTCACTGGCTTCGAAGGAGCTTGCCTGCGCTGTGAGCATGATTACTGTCGTTGACAAGGCTCAGCTTCATGTGCTGGCTTCCACTCATCCGGCAGTACCTGGTGGTATGTCGTATCCGAGAGAGCAGGGCTTCTGCGCACAGACCATTCTGGACCCCCATCCACTTGTATCGCGTCACGTCCAGGCCGATGTACGCTTCAGTGCCATGTCGAGTGTGCGTAAGATGGGCATTAACTTCTACTGCGGCTTCCCGTTGATGGGGTCGGACGGCAAGACGGTCATCGGCTCCGTGTGCTGTGCCGATCCGCATGCCCGTGACCTCACACGATCGCAGTACGCTGCCATGAGCAGTCTAGCCAGCACAGCTTCACGTGTTGTTCAACGTGCTGCCGAGAATCGAGCAGTGCGTGAAGACTCCGCTGATGTTTAAACAACCCGAAGATTAAACTACTATAAACAAGTACAAAATGAACGATCACGTAGAGAAGATCTGTGAGTAAAGATCAAAATGCATGCAGAACGTACATTCCAGGTTTCAAACAGCCACGAGTTGTACGCATATGGCACTCGCGTAGTTAGTTAATTGTTGACTCATTCGACGGAGTTAAGGTCTTTCAGCAGAACCAACGCGCGCGCAGCGTCCAGAGTCTCACTCCAAGTACTCTTTTGCTCTTCATCTTCGTCGACGACAATAGCGTTCGTGACGTTCACGAGTCCCTGCATGATAGACATCGCCTTCTCCGGCACAGAATCTTCGAATGCCTTCAGCACGATTCCAGTGTACGCCACGGTGTCGCGTGGGAAGCTGCCCGGAAGCCCTGTTTGTTGCTGGAAGAAAAGCTGCAGAATCAAAGTTGCTACCAGAGCATACTGCTGCTTGCTCTCGATCGGTTGCGCTGTCTTATCATCCAGTTCCGCAAGAGTTGTTTGTCGGTAGCCGAAGATAAACTGGCGCTCCTTTTTCCGGTCCAATTTTCGAAGTGGCATGCTGAGAGCCTCAGCCAGTACTGGAACGTGGGCCGTAAAATCGCTTAACGACCGACGGCCAGCCGTGGCGAGCGTCCATAACCGCACCAGAGCACTCGCAGTGGACTGTGGAAGGCTGGACTCAAGCACCTTCTTGTTCTCATCGCTCAGCGACGTCACCGGAGTAGCTGCATTTTTGCCTTCCTCTTCATTACCATTGGGAGTCGATAAAAGAGGCATGCCTTCTAGTTCTAGACTGTTGCTCTCAGCCATAAAGCTAGTCACCAGTGCAGCAAGTTCCACAGCAGATGATTCAAGCAAATGTGTCTCCACGAGAGCAAGCTTCTCCATGCCAGCAGCATCCTTGGCATCCACGTGCATCGAAAGCTTGTTAAAGCTCTTCTCCAATATGAGCAGCTTGGTGAACTGCTCATCGAATCGGTCTTCGAACACCTTACGTAACTCGCGTAGCGACGCAGCGTCGCCACGGATAATACTAGACAGAGCCTTGGTTAGCGCGGTGGAGTACAGCTCGTCAATCTTCGGCCCCAAGTACGATGCCATGCCATCCATGAAGTCGTCATCGCCCTCGAGGTCCTCGACGGCAGGAAACCAACTTACAAGAAGCTCAATAATCTCCTCACGTAAAGGCACGATAGACACTTGGGCAGAGGCTGATTTGCTCTCGTCGTCATCAGTATTTCCGCCACGCTTCGACCCACGCTTGCCCTTCTTACTTTTTCCAGACTTTCCGCTACGTCCCCCAGACTCTTCCTGGTCGCGTTTATTGCTGCCCTTGCCTCGTTTTCCCTTCTTACCGCGCTTACTGCCGAAGTCCTCGTCATCTGAATCGTCAGCTTCCTCCACTTCTTGTCTGCTCTCATGAACTTTAGCCTGTACCGCGCTGCTCTTCTGCTGCGCAGCGGTACGAGAAGCCTTGGCTGTGGCATCTTCACCAAACTTCTCCAAGCAAGAAGCGAAGAACCCCGAACTGACAGCATAACTCTCTGCGATCTGGTATGCCTTGGACACATGTCCTGCCTTCTCCAGCGCTGGCGACATACCCAGCAACAAGGCCACATCTCCCGCCGGCAGTGCACTCGGCAGCAACAAACGCACATCCACGAACGTATTATCAGTCACTGAAGCCTCCACCGCTCCTTCCAACTGAAGCTGCAGCGCCCGACTCACGACACTCTCCTGGAGCGGTACAGCATCGGGGAAACGTTTCTTCAAAAAGTCGTAGGGCCTGGCAACCTGGAGCTCCCTCGCTCGAGCGTGCTCTAAGTACCCATTCTGCTGGAAGAACGAGTACATACTCTCCCTCTGCGCCGCCATGAACACATAGGGCACATACTCGCGGCCTCTCATTGTGCCCATCAACACTTTTGTCTGTATCAGCTCCGTCAGCGCCTCATTGGCCACAGCTTCATCGAAGCCAAAGCTCCTCAGTATGTCAGGCACGAACACAGGCCGCGTCACGGCTGTGAATACTCCTCGGAGTCGTGCCTTCTGCGCTGCCACGTACGAGTCCGTGTACAGCACGTTGTCCCTCTCCCTGGCCTTCAAGATGCTGCCGAGTCTCGTGCGTACTACATCGCGCATATAGTCCACAGCGAAGCCAAACTGCTGTGCCAGGTCTCCGATAGACGTAGTTCCGCTCTCCTGTAGCAGGACGTCCGTGTCCTCCATGATGCCGTCCAGGTACCAGCTCGTAAGCAACTCCTCGCCGTTGTTTACCAAGTAGTACCCGTCCTTACTTCTGCTGCCTCGACACAACGCAGCCGCCTGCTTCTCGACATGCGTGCGATCCACGTCGATGAGCTTTTCCAGCTCCGTGAGGCTCAGACGCCCACCATGCAGCGCCACGTAGTCGGCGATTTCCCGCTGAACCTGGAGAGGCGTCAGGAACTGCTTGCCCGTGCGTGTGTGGATGACCTGGAGCTTGCCCAGCTGTTGCAGCTTTAGCAGCAAGTCAATGACATTGTGGTCCGACAGCTTGAGCGCCGCCTCCTGCTGCTGCACGGCCGCGAGCTGCTGCTGGAGCAGCGCGATCTCATCCATGGTCGCACGGTGGGGAAGAAATCGCAGAGTGATGGTCGCACTAAGGTTTTTAATGCGGTTGTCACTCTCGTGAGGGGAAACTTTTGTTACTCAAATGAATCGTTGCATTTCACTATGGAGGTGCGGCTTGAGATCGCTGAGGAAGCGCTCAAGGTGTTCGTCGCTGCGCTGCAGTGCTTGGCTCAAGTCGGCAAGGAGCTGTCCATCGAGTGTGATCCCAGAGCGCGTCGTCTTACGCTTCGCGCTCTCAATGATGCGCACTCGGCCTCTGGCCAGGTGATCCTAGACCGCACGTTCTTCTCCGAGTCACAGGCCTGCAGTGTCACTCTCCAGGGTGTCGATGTCGCATCAATAGAGACACTAAAGGCTCGATTCAATGGCCGCACACCATTTGTAAAATGTAAGGTGTTCGCCAAATCGTGCTGTAATGTTTTCCGCACGCTCAAGCATGTGCAGAGCGTCCAATTGGCACTGCTAGTAGACCAGGAGGCTCTGGAGCAGGCGGGTGCCAGCCAGGAGGACGTCTCACAGAGTAGCGAAGTGGACGAGGTGGATCTTGATTGTATGGAGCTGCGCTGGCGACTGCGTTGCGACTTCGACATCACCAAGACGCACCACATGAAAGTGCAGTCGTGCCAGATTATGCGCGCCGTATTCGACAAGGACGCGTGTCCCAATCGTTGGAGGACACGACAGCACCACTTGGGCTCGCTCCTGGCGCATATCCACCACAGCAGCGAGGTGAGTGTCACGTGCTCGGCGACACACATCAAATTCGAGAGTTATTTTTCCAGTACGACAGATAGTAAGGCCCAACTGCAGACCGAGACGGCAGTGGAGAGCGCCGAGTTTAACGAGTACATTCTACAGCCAGCGACCGACAGCATCGATTCATCAGCACAGTTAATTTTTTGCATCAAGGAGATCCGGGTGAGTTCGGGATGAGAGTTGGAGAGTAAGAGGAGGAGACTGATGATGACGGTGTTTTGTAGGCGCTGCTGGCATTCTGCAAGACGAGCGACGTGCTGGAGGTGTCGTTCTACTTCAGCACAGGCGGCAGGTGAGTTGAGATTGAGAATTTGCTGTCGTGTACCTGCTGTCTGATTGCGATTCGTCGTGAATTGCTTAGTCCGGTGCTGTTTGCAGCCGAGTCGACGTCAATGGCCAAGTTCTCCATCGAGATGACGCTGTCGACTGTGACAACGTTCCTGCCGGCGTCATCACAAGCTCGTAGCGAGGAGGAAGTTCCGCTATTCACCAACGGGTAAGCGCTCTGCTGTCGTGGAGTGTAGACTGCGTCCATGCTGACAATGTATCGTCTTGGTTATCATACCTGTAGCAGCAATATCCCCAATAGTCAGACGCCATCGATGTCGCAGTCTTCTTCGCAAGAGAATCCACGGTATCTGACTCATAGTAAGCGTCCACGTGTGGATTAGTAGCAACAATAGGTGGCTGACACATTGCACTACACTCCAAAACCAGTCGAAATACGCAAAATGATGAAGTTAATTTACCAAGAAGACGACATGCTGTCGTCAACGCGCCTATCTCACCGTCCTACTGCTCGCGATCTTGCACGAACCAACTCTCACCTCCCAGCTCCGTCCTGCCCTCGGCGACGCTCTCAAACGTCGGTGACTTGTTGACGATCTCCCACTCGTCGCCCTTGGGACTGCTGCTGGCCTTGTCGTCGTCGCTTTTCTTCTTCTGTTTCATGCGACGTTGCGCCACCACAGTCTTCCGCTTAGGCGAAGGACGGCGGTAGGGCACGAACATGGTGTCGGCCACGTCGTCCTCGTCCTCCTCTTCGTTGTCGCTGACGCCGTCGCTCTCGCTATCCGAAAACTCGTCGCTTCGTGCCAATTCGCGCAGTTTTTCGAGGTCAAAGTGGCGCTGACGCAGTGGCGATGCCAGCGTGCGGAAGGCGGGCGATAGACGGCGGTTCATGCCGCTGTTCATGCCTCCGAAGGCGTTCTCCGAGCCGTGCATCGATACTGCCGCCATGGTCTATAAGATCTCGAAAGTCTCTACTCTTGCTTGAGCTGCTCGAGGCAAGTTGCCGAATGAGCAGGTGGAGGGTGCTGAGAGGGCGTGACGCCTGCGACGTGTGCGACTCTAGAAGATTCACTCAATCTGAGTATGCCCCCATCGTCATTGCACCCCTATCGTCTGGATGGGACTGCCTTGCTGTGGTTCGGTCCAAGTGTTTGCGTGGGCGTTCAAGGCTGCCACATTGGCTGAGATCGGGCCAGGTAGAGGCGGACAATTGGTAGCGCACGAGTGCCAAGTCGGATCATCCATCACTTGAGACTGTCCTACAGTAAAGTAGGCGTCGTCTGCTTGCACAGACTCGCTGCAATGGCTGCGTGTGGACTTGGTTGTAGCAACGAGAATTTGCCGCGAACGTGGTGAAGACATCATCGTCGAGAAAGGAGAAACAGCAGGAGGAAGGTTTTTGGGCTGGGACGAATTGAAGTTCAAGCGGTGAACAGCAACGAAGCAGCGAAGGTTTTCCGCATTTTAATAAAGTTAACCTTGAGAGCTGTAGGTGTTTTGTTTTACTTCAGGTTTCCTTCTTTCAGGGAGATGAGAACGTGTTGGTCTATTCGATTAGAGACCACTAGTCGCGCCGCTTAGAAGAGATTCACTAGCGACCGGATGAGCCGGAATGCTAAGTGTATCCATGTGAGCTTCTGGGATGGCTGCATTTCCAAGATGTGTACGTTGGAACGAGCAGCAGACACTAATGCGCCGAAATAGCCAAGTACTGTTTTCCTCCAGAGTCATTTCTCGGGATGTGCGCGAATGGAGCGGTCGAGGTGATGGCATGAGCTTCGGGCGTCACTGTGTTCATGGCTGCTAGGCTATCAGCGTCACTTAGGGGACGTCTACGTAGTACGGCTGTGAGTGAATCAAGATCCATGGATATGGAAAGATCACCGAGGACGTTGGATTGGATCCTAACGAGGAACATGCAGCGAAATCTATAGCAAGTATCTTTGTGGCTCACACGTAGGTGACCTGGAACAACAAGCACTCTTCGTTCTGGTCTGTACGCTTGTCGTTGATGAACAGGTAGATGTCCTGGGACACCGAATCTGCCTGATTACGGGCAGTGAACGCAAGTCTCAAGAAGGCCTGGCCATTGCTAGGTAGCTGTAAGACAGGTTCACGAGGTACTAGAAGTTTGGGTGCACTGGATCGCAGTGTGATGGTCTGCGGTTGATCCCAAGGATTCGAGTACGAGATCTTCTTCTGTGCGGCTCGACCCACTGGTAGTCGCAGTTCGTACGTCTTGGTGATGACTGGAAATGCGAGAGTCACGTGGACACTCCAAGCGCCTACAAGTTCGTGTGTCTCGACGTCCACGAGGTTCACGAGCATCACCATCTGCGTGTCAGCTCCATTCTCGACAGCACAAAAGGCGAACTCAATGCGATTGAAGGCTTGAGGCGTCAACGTGAACACTTGAGCAGGTCGAAACTGCACCAACTCACGCTGATGCATCGGCGTGAAGCACATGACGTGGCGTTTGTGACTCGACGAGCCTCCGTCTCCTTTGATCACGAGCTCATGCCGCACACTTTGGCCTAGAACTGCATGCACATCAACTCGTAGTTTCGACTGGATGCGGATCTGCCACACTTCGAACACCCGTGCATAGTACATGTCGTCGTACAGGACAACAAAGAAGGTTTCGAGTGCAGGATAGTCCCCCACTCTGCACTTGAAGCTGGCGAGACCGCTGTTAACAGCGTCGTCTTGACCACTACGCAGCAGTTCCATAGCCACACTGGGATCCATACAAACAACGTACTTGCCTTTGGGGTATCTCAGTTTCCAGCGCCAGATAGACGACGCTGGATGGGAGAAGCGCAGCACGCGGTGACACACAAAAGGCTGTGGTTGTAACTCGATGTTAAACAGCGCGACGGTGTGTCTGTGTGAACAGCTCTTGATCACGACCGAGACCGGGATCTTGGAGTTGCTCTGCTCCTTGCCAGTGTCGAGCCAACGTAGTCGCATGGGGATATGGAGCTGGTCGTGAGATTCCATGACGACTTCGTTGTGGTCGTCGATCATTTCGTCTTCAATGTGTGCGTTCGAAGTGATGAAGCCGTACGAAAGCGGTAGATTCTCACGATAGAATGTCCATTCCTCACTACTGCGCACGATCTCGAGATCCAAGACCACAGCGATCTCTCGAGAGGAAGGAAGCAGCAGCTCAATGCGGAAGCGGTCGTTGTGGTTGTACGGATTGGTGAATGGTAACTCGAAGAACAAGATATCACCGAACGACGGGAACAACGTAAGCGACGTGGTCACTTGTTGACGAAGCAGAGAATACACGAGCGACTTCTTGTGGCCATCGCGATAGTAAGACAAGACACGAAGTAGCTGATTCTTCTCGTCCTCGAAGCGACGAAGACTTTCTTCCGCTTGTTGGTTACTGTACTGCTGCCGCTCCTTCGTCTTAGCAACAGCTCGAACTAGTTGTTTGTGTGCCTTGGCCTCGTCACTCCTAATGTGCTGTTTGTATCGTGACAGACGCTCAAGTTGTCGAGCATACAGATGATCGTTCATCTTCGTCACAGGCTTCGGCATTCCTCCACTGAACTCGTCGTCTCGATCGGAGAGTAAAGTGAAGCCAAGCTCCATCAAAACCTGAAGAAACTCCACTCGAAGCAGTTCGCTTCGCTTCTTACGAGTGCGTTCACGACCAGGTACTAGACCACGACGATCGTCGGCATCTTCGAGGAACTTGGAGACCACACGTAGCGGTAAAATGCCACGCTGGTAAGCTTCAAGAGCAGTTTGGCGCAGCTTGAGCTCCACTGCTCGAATCTCCGGGTTACTGTTGAAGGAGTAGTTGCAGTCAAGGCTCGCTGCTACTGGTGTCTGTTGTTGAGTAATTTCCAGTGGCACAGCCTTCTCATTGACGTCTTTCGTCGTTTGTTCTGAAGTACTTCCCACTGGTTCTGAGGCGCTTTCGACCTTTTTCGTTGGTGTAGACACTTCCACTGGCTTTGACTTCAAGGGTTTGTCTTGAACGACAGTTGATGGCGTGTCTGTTGTTCGAGCGCTTTGAGTACCGGGTGCTGGTCTTGGCGCCTTCTTTGCTGGTATCTGTCCAGAACCAGAGCGACGTAGCAGTGGCGGACGTTTGCTTGCTGTTGCGATCTCTTGAGTGTCAGTCGATTTTGCTGGTTGATCTTCAGTTGCTGTAGATTTCTCGGTGCTTCCTTCCACTTCGGTACTTCCTTCCACTGCTGGGATTTCCAGGAAAGAAGCAAAATCTCCCACACGAAGTCCGCTTTGTTGCTTGGAATCCAATGACTTGGCCATTGCAGCGATGTCTTCGTTGGAAAGTTTTACGAAGTCGGCGCCCAGTTCCCGCAGTCCTGTCACGAAGTCCTCGTATGAGATCACTCCTTTGGCTTCCTTGTCGAAATGATTGAAGGACTGCTGGACTGCCACACCCTTTTCGGACGCTGTTTGAAGCAGCCTCTTCAGTTTTACCAGTCCGTTTGATGCCTCCTTGCTCAACAAACTCTTGGCTTCCTCGGGTTTTGCCACAGACGCAGTCATTTCTGCCCGCTTGGCTGCTCTAACTGCAGCAAATGATGCTCGCTGAGAAACCTTGGGCTCCTCAGACCCCTCCTCCTTTGCTACATCGGTACTCACAGTTGTTGAGTCTGCGGTTGTGCGCCGAAATGGGGATTTAGAGGCTGGAGCATTACCCTTACCGAACGAAGACGAACGCGCTGGACGCTCAGATGGCCCTTTGGCTTGTGAAGTATCCGCGGAGCTAGCCATCGTTGGAGCCTTATCATCTCTGACTGGTTCCTCTGGGTCGCTTGGAGATGGACCAGACAGATCTTTCGTTTCATCTCCTGCCTTTGTTGTTGTTACCTCTGACTCAGTGTCCATGCCGTTACTGGGATGATCTACTGCTATAGGAACCGATTCATCTCCACGTCCATCCGTTTGAAATACGTCATCTGTGGCTTGATCACTGTTATCTACTGACGTGGCGTCAGCAGGCTTACCTGTCTCGACAGTATCAAAAGTTTTGGTATTTTCAGATGGTGTATCGTTCTTCGGAGTAGATGGAACTGGTCGTGTGGCATCGTCAAGGTTTGCTCCAGCATTTTGGGTCTCTGGTTCCCTCAAAAGCGCCTCAAATTCCTCGAGCGACACACTTCCACTTCCATCCTTATCAAGTTTCCTGACAATCGCCAACGTGTCTTCATCCGACACATTTTCAAACCCAGGAAGCTGCTTAACGGCCGTGACAAACTCATCTTTCGTGATGACTCCGCTGTTGTCGCTATCGAAATGGGCAAAACACTTTTTGACGTCAACTCCATTAGCGTCAGCGCTCAGCAGCAGCTTGTGTAGCTTATCCTCCGTTGTCGGTTTAGGAAACGGAGTCTTTGACGGGGTTTTAGCATCTTCAGTAGGTGCCTTCTCCTCCGTTGATCGTGGCTCAGAGTCTTTCTTATCATCCTTCTTCTCCAAAAGTTTTGATGTAGGGAAGAGCTGTTTGAACTCCGATAGTGAAATGGTTCCACTGTCATTACGATCAAGAAGCTTAATAACGCCATTAATCACAGACTTATCTGCTGCGAATCCTAGTTCCGTCATTGCCGTCACAAACTCCTCCTTCTTAATTTTTCCGTCTCCATCCTTATCAAAGTGCACAAAGCAAGCGTCAACAGAGACCCCCTTTTCAACCGCTTTTTCCATCAGCGCTTTAAGTTTGTTCATCAACTCTTCATTGTCATTCACATCCCCATTACCATTCAATAGCACTCGAAACTCGCTTAAATCAATCTTGCCACTACCATCTTCGTCAAGTTGCTCCAACAGCGTGTCAAAATCTGTTTCCTCCATGTCTTTAAAACACCCGAGCGCTATTAAACCACGCTTGAGCTCAACACGTGTAATCTCGCCATCACTGTTAGAATCGAAATGATTAAAACTCTTATTTAAGTCAACTCCTTGATCTTTTGCCTTTACCAACAGCGTCCGTAGTCGGTCCACTGCGGCGTCCTTTGTTGATAGCGATTTGGCTGATTGTACTGTCTTACACAGAGCACATAACTCCTGAACGTCCACATTACCTTCTTCTTCCGCAAACCCAAAGTACGTCATTAAAGGCGTCACCTCCGTGCTAAGTACTCGAAGGGATAATCCAAGCTCCTGACAAAACGACGTCCACTTCTGTGCTGCCAATTTCGAGGATACATCAAGTTTCGACAGTTTGTCAAAGTGAGGAAGGAAAATACCTGACAAAGACTGTTGTTTTGTGCGGAGTTCTGCTCCAAAGTCTTGGAATTCGCGCTGGGAGATCATTCCATCTCGGTTTGTATCAAAGCGAGCAGCTATAAGGGCTGCGTCATCTGCAGTCATCCCTTGACCAAGGAAGAGTTTCTCAATTGTTGTCTGGAATTCGGTGAGGGAGATATTACCGTCTGAGTTGGCATCAAACTGTTTGAACACGTCTTCAATAGTCATTCCATTAGCACAAGCACGAACAATCAGCTTGATCAGCTTCCGGTTGGCTTTTTCTCGAGCTGCTTGTTGGGAATGCGTCATTTCTTCGTGCATTTCTTTGCCAGATACGCCACAAGCCGTCAAGAATTCACGGTAATCGATGTTCGTATCCCCATCTGCATTGATCATTTTCACATAAACCTCCACAGCATCTCGCTCGAATGTCTTCAGTGTGTTATCACCAGCCTTGTCAAGTTGCAGTAGCTGGTTAAGAGCATTTGTAAACTCCTCCACAGATAAAGTACCGTTCTTATCAGTATCGAAATGCACAAATACTTCCTCAAAGCCGATGCCTTTCTTCGTTAGACGACTTAGAATCACACGAACGTCTTCAGTAATATCCTTGACTGTCTCTTTGACCATTTCTTTCTTGTTTTCTTCGACCGAAATCCCTAATGACTCCAAAAACTCTGTGTAGGAGATCGTGCCATCATGATCTTTATCTAGTGCCGCTAGTAGTTCTCTGACGCCTTCCTTGTCGTCCGTAGATATCCCCAGTTGGTTGAGTCCTCTTTCAAATTCCTCATACGACAACTTTCCATCTCCCGAGGTGTCAATCTCGGCGAATACGTGGTGAACACGGATACCTTTCTCCATCGAACGCACTATGATGCGTTTAATGTGATCTCGCCACTCCGTTTTCGACATTTGAGTGGGTTCCTTGACAAATTTTCTAAACTCTTGATACTCGATCTTGCCATCTTTGTTTGTATCCAGTAAATCTGCCAGAAGTCCCAAATCGTCGTCTGAGAGATCATCAAACACTGTTCCAAGTGATCGCATGGCCTTGATAAACTCCTCTCGAGACAAGAATCCGTCCTTGTTGACGTCGATTACTGCAAACGCATCAGCAAGCGCGAGGTGGTTCTTCGTGGCGATCGCCATCACGCGCTTTAAACGTTGGGCGTGGTCCGGAGCAGAGGTCTTCTGTTGTTGCTCTTGGGGGTTAGACTTGGCAATTTCAGGGGTTTGAGGTTGTTTTTCAGCTGGTTTGGACACAGGAACTGCTCCAGAAGTCTTAGTTTCCGGCGGTCTCAGCGATAATAGAGCTAGTAACCCCGTTTTACCCTCCAAGTCGCATTTGATCCGTGTTGGACGGGTTCCAGTTGGTTTAACTGCATCACCTCCACCCTTACGCGACCCGAATAGTTCGCATAGAATCGCAATCTCCTTCGGTGTGAGCGTATTAGCGTTGCTAAGATCCTGTCGCTGACGAGGCTGAGGCTCCCTTCGCTCCCGAAGATCCTTGGTTATACGGTCTCCATAGAATCCTTCTTGCGAAAGAAGACGATAGAGTTCAGCATTTGATTCAACTAGCGGGCGAGCACGAACTCGGTGCTTTGGTCTACTAGGCTGGTCAGGAACTTCAGATGGCTTGGATTCCACAGTATTCGAAGGATGTTGATCAATGTAGTGTTCCCCTCTTAACCCGTAGCTGCTCATGAGAAGCTGAATCCTTCCAAAATTCGCTCCATCCGCTTTGTTACTAGCAGGAACGGTGCAGACTGTGTTCTCGTCGTGGTCTGCTATCGTTCCTCCAAGTGGTGGCGCAATTTCGACTTCCGCTTGGAATTTCTTCACACTTTTGCTTTGGCGCAGCAGTTCGTGGAGAGGAATAGCAAACGTTCCGAGCTGGAAAAGACTGTCAGCATCCCACACATCGACGTGCAGATTGTTCCACTTTAAATATTCAGCAAAGCGGCGAGTCTCCAACGGATTCATCGTCGCCGTTGTGTCCACATCAAACTGGATCGCTAGTGATGGTTTATTGGCCGCAGAATCTCGCATGAGCAGGAACGTTTGCATCTCTCCACCTGCTCCATTGTCGAAGGCTTTACTTAACCGTAGCGTCTCCGTTCGTGTAGGTGGGAAATTGTAGAACTGGAAGGTGAAATACACTCGAGACGGGGCGGGACTAGAAGCCATATCACCCTTCACTTCAGCACCAGAGCTACATGCTCGATACGCTGCAAAGTGGAACCGGATTTCGTTCGCCTTGAACGGATCGTTCACCTCTGTATCAATCGATTTAGCGATGAGGTCGATTTTCTTTGCTTTCTTCCGTTTATCGTGAGTCTTCTGGTTACTCGGAGACGCGGGAGGTTTGTCGTGAGGATCCATGTAGCCGTATCGAGTCAAGAGAGTCTTTGACGCTCGACTAAGTTCGGACGTTGGAGCTTCAGGAATTGTAGTCGGTGGGACCACAGGTCGTTCTACCTGTTTCTTCGGCGATGGGGTCTTTGGACGTTGATCGACTGGTTTCTCCTTGTTAGTAGGAGACGTCGCCAACGCATTGAGTGTTTGAGCCAGCACTGCGTTGTTGTTCGCTTTACTCAGTAGCTTTCTTGCCCATTGATCCGCAGCATAGTCTTCGTTCTCCTCAGTTTGGTTGGTCTCTGATTCGAGCTTAACCGGTGATAACGGAGCTGTAGTCTCTTCGATCGGTGGCTCTATTGCTTCATCAATTGTGATCTTCAGATCACAGAAAGCGAACGAGTCTTTGAGCGACACCTCGCGGTTTTGCAGCGACTTCGTCACTTGATCTGGCGGTGTATACAGCGTGTTATCCGAGTAAGGACGACAAGCAGCTCCAGATAGGAGATCGACGTGGAGAACGCGACGATGGTCTTCTTGCTCTTGCAACAGCACTCCTCCAAGCGTTGCCAGGGGTTCAGTGGAGACAGCAGTTGCATGATGATGTTTGTCGTGCAGATAGAGCTTCTTGCCATCACTAGGGACCAGTGAACGTGCCCCCATGGTCACTAACACCACATCTTCGTCCGGTGGAAGAGGTTTCTTCGCCTCAAGCGCCTGCTGCTTGAGCTTAGATGGCCAGACGATCCGGAAGTGAACAGTATACTGCAACACAACTACGATGGCCATGTTCGGGTGGAAGACGAAGCCCCGCAGCTTGGAGTGATTGCGCACACAGAAGAGTGTATCTCCTCCGTTCGGATCAGCCTTAAGCGGTACCATAAACTGTCGAGTACGGAAGCACCGTCCATTGTGAAGCGCGATCTTCAGTACTCGCGCTGAGATCTCTCCCTCGACGCTTGTGGCTCCTTCGTGGATCGCTGTACGACTGATCCTTAGCCGAGAGACCAGGTTGGCTTCGATCTCATCGCGTAAGTTGATAGCAACGCGAGTAGCGACCACATTAAGCTCGAACGGGTCTTCTACTTGCACTGACTTGGGCACGAGCGAAGCGATCTTCACATAAGACGCCAGTGTTTCTTCATACGTTGTGTCATTCTCCTCTTGTAGCAACATTTTCGGATTCTTCCCCAAGTCGATGTTAGCCAAGTTGCCATTTTTCAAGCCTGGGATCGGATCTAGAGCCCCCACGAGCTCGTTTTTCCTTACGAACATGGCGATGGAAAGCATGGGTTCGTGCTGTACAATCTGGTAGTAGAATTTACAGCCTTCGTGCTTCTCCTGTGCACTCCAAGCGTCCGGATTGAGTTCCCAAAGCGCTCTCGGACTGCCAGTAAACACACTGACAGAGTCTCCACTGGTGTTCAACGAGAAAGCTGATGGAACGGAGCTGGGCTCGTCCTTCGTGCCGGACTGTACCGGTTGTTGACGAGCGAAGAGTGGCAACAGTGTCCAGCCACAGCCCACCACTCGGACTGTCGCCTTGGAGTCCGGGTCTTTCTCGTATGCCACGAGTTCTAATACTCCAACGCAGTTGGCGTCAATGATGTCTGAGATGAAATACGCACGGAAATTCAACGGCGCGTTCTCGATAACATACCGCAACGTGCCGTCCTTGGGATGTCTGGCTTGTTTGATCTGGAACGGATCGACTGCCAGCTCTGGACTGACCCAAGTATTACCGAAGAAGCGCTTGGAGACTGCGTGGAACAGACTCACGTGTACACCTAACGTGATAAGCGGTTCTTCTTCTTCTTCGCTCTCGTTGTTGCCACTGGCTGCTGGGATCGCAGACGTATGTAGAATCGAGTCTGGAAGTACCCAATTCAGTACCGACATGGCGTGAAAAGAGTACCCTTTTGCCTTTTCAATCCGAAATACTCCCTCAGGAACAGGCATACACAATAAACTGGAGCGGAACTTCTCGAACTGCTTCTCTCTTGTCGTCCATAATGAAGTTGATGCTGGCTCTGCCGACGGTAATAGAGTACTGGTGTTAAGTATTTGCGTTTGAGACTTCCATCGACGTCGAGAGACTCGTGTAGCTCGAGCACGTTGAATGGTGTTAAGCTCCGAGTCTGCCGAGACGTCCGACGGTGGGTCAGACTCGAAGGAGTCTTCAAACCCGGACGAACTGGGCGACGATATGTCCTCAGACATCCCTGAAGTCGCTTTACGCTCTACCATTTAGAACTTGAGATCTGTACCTTGAAGAGTCACTAACAAGCAGGGGGCACATTTGAGAGTCATCTAAAAAGCAAAATGCAGCCACCTGTTCGCGCTTACTAAAACTACCCAAGTACACGTCCAACAGACAGTCCGAGCATCGACAAGTTAGGTGTTGATGAGCTTCTCGGCCATGGACAGCTGCGCCTGCGTGAGTCCTGACAGGTACGACACCATGAGTAGGTCCTGCAGTCCCGTGTTGAAGAGCTGGTCGAACTGTTCCTCACGCAGTATCGGGATCGCCGCCAAAGCGTCAGCGATCTCGCGTCCGAGCTTGGAGTCTGCCGTTTGCTTGCCAGCAACGACGTCGCCCACGAACGAGCTGGCACCGTCGATGCACTTGTAGAGCTGCTCCATGGTCTCCTCCAGAGCTTCGAGCTCCTTAGGGAGAGCCACGGCCTTGTTCTCTCCGTCCTTAGGAGCCATAGCATTCACTAAACTCATAAAATATCGTTAAGCCTTGTCATAACCCCCACAAACTGGATAAACGGCGTTGCAACGTACGCGCGATGGCCTCGGGCTCCGAGAGCTTCTGCGTCACTGGAATCTGCTTGAATTGGTTGACGAGCGCTGTGTCCACGACCTCGAGTGGGGCGGCCACATAGGCCGACACGTCCAGCTTGTCACTAGCAAGACTGGTGTCCAGCACCAGGTGCACGGGCAGCTCGCAGACCGAGCTGTAGAACTGGTGGATAAGCGCCGAGTGGTCGTCCAGACGGTTCGGGCCCGCAGCATACCATCCTACGACCACTTCGCCCTCGTTCACGCGCTGGTGCAGCTCGTACATGTGCGTGTGGAAGTCGCGACCGACAGCCACCTCGTCTCCATTCTCCAGGTGTGGGACAGCGAAGGAGTTTGTGATCTCAGCCACGCCGCCCTCCACGCGGCCCAACAACGTGCCGATCACGCGCTCCTGGTCCTCAGCGCGACGCAGAGAGCGGTCCAACACCTGCAGCACCACCACAGGGTGCAATTTCACTTCGGTAACGGGCTCCGTGCCCAGCAGCAGCGCGCTCATGATCGTCCAGAAGGTGTTGATACTTGTGCTCCCCTATTGCGACTTGGGTGGTGCGTCCGTATAATACCGGATAATGGAAATGTATACAAAGCCAACTCAAAATTTATACACCATTTTACACGGATTATTAGCCACACATGAGAGCGCGCAAGGTGGAGACCGCACTACGTCGCGTGCTGCGTGCAGTGAGGCCGCTTGTTGGTAGTGAAGTGAATGGTCGTAATGTGCAGACGGCGGCAGTACAGACCACAGCCTTTTCCGGCTTGAATGTGTCGTCTCTGAGCCAAGCAAAGCGTCTAAACGTTGCGATGGTTGGTGGCACCTTGGCGCTGGCTGCAGCACTGAATAACGAGGCACAAAACGAGCAGAAGAAGGAGGAAGACGTCAAAGGAGGCTACAGAGTGAATCCAATCCAGAATGTGACTGCGCTACTTCGTCTGTATGAGCAGATCGACCAGAACATGAGTGTCTTCGCGGCGCGGATGCTGGAGGACCTGGAACGCAGCGTGGAGAAAGAAAAGAAAGCGAACGGCGGCAAACTCACGCTGTCACCAGAGCAGCGCGCACTGAACATGAGCATCGCTTTCGAATCCACACTCGAGAAGGTGCAGGACGCCGTCTTTCGTAACAATTACGTGACTAAGGATCAGGTACAGGAGGCCATGCAGCAGCTTGTCACCGGCACTCTGCGCGGTGGAGGCCCTGATGGCAAGATCACCGTAGCCGAGGCGGAAACAATCGACGACTTTGTGCGCAAGCTCGGACGGTTGCGATGGAAGGTTACAGGCTCGCGCGAGCCGCTGATCCCCGGCGCCAAGTCGACTTGGGTATGTTGGGAGACCTGCTTGGTTGACTGGAAACGGTAGGCTGATACTCTCGAGTGTATTTTACTACAGATGGTGCCTGAGGAGAAGCCCGATATTGAAGTCACGACGGTGATTCGCGTCATGGAGGAACTGATCCCGTCACTGACAGCAGAGATGGAGAAGATTGCCACGTCTCTTCGCAAGCAGAAGTTGGCGGACGCTGAGTTCCGCAGCCAGCTCTCGCAGCAGTATGTGAAGGCATCCGGCAAGATGACCGAGGAGATCTGCAAGAAGTTCAAGCTAGACATGCGCGCCTTCCAAGCTGCACTCATGTACTACCACGACAACGACCAGTTCGAGAAGACACTAGCCAAGCTGGCTGAACAGCAGCAGAAGAGGTACGATTCTTTGAGGCCACTGCATTTTGCTTATGATTTACTATGCTACCCTAACTAAACTACCCTATAACTGATGCCTGGTGACCTCTATAGATTCAAGGAGCTTGGATTGTAAGACTCTGAAAGATCCATTTGTTGACCGCGTGTGGTGCGGCTTAATCCCTGAGATCTCTCTATCTACCCTTCTCACTACAGGAAACGCGGCAGCCTATAGAGACCCCACGCCGCCTTGTAGCAGCCAAAAATGACGAGAAGTTGAGTATCCATTTCTCTCCGTTCTCTTGTTTTCTTACTTGTCGGTGGATCAACTTAGAAGCGGCGGATCATGTGCTGCGCTTCCTTTTGCGCAGTGGCGATCCGGCGGTTTAGGACGCTGGGACGCGATAGTCGACGCGATTGAATCAGCGCCGAGCCACAGCTGAGTCCTCCCTGCTGCACTAATGCGCGCTGTAGCCTGGGCAGCGGCTGCTTGTTGGCCATTAGGAACTCCCAGAGCTTGCACACGCGGCAGTCCGCATTGTTGCCACCGTTATTATTATTATCGTTGCTCTTCTTCGGGCACGGGTGCGTCGCGTAGGTCTTCATTAACCGACGTGTGGAGTGGCAGAGCGAGCTGCCGCACGCGTCGCCGGCGTGGCAGTACTGCACATGCTCGAGTCCACGCTGGAAGGAAGCAGCCTTAGCCTCCCACTGCTTGCGCATGGCAAAAACCGCTGCGGTGGCTCTGGTTCTTGCTGGTGCCTCAGCGTTTTGCTGGTCATCTGGCGGTTGCTGTTCGCGCTGCTGTTGCTGTTTCGGGTTCAATGGGGGGCGTTCGTAAGAGCAGCGCGAGGGCGGACTGGGCATGGGGCGAGCAGGCAGAAGGCACGGGCCAAGAGGCTTTAGACTCAGTCACGCAGGACAGCACACAACGGAGCTGTCGTACGTGGAAGGAGGCGAATTGAGAATTGAGGTGAGCAGCAGATACGATATGGCAAGCCCATACAAAAATCGAGTCGCCGGCCGTTTTTTCGACTCTGCAAATCTATGCCTCGTATTTGAACTTTGGTCCACCATAAAGAACGTTATCTGGTGTTGACCACACGAGTTCTAGAACACGTCGCGAACGCTCCTTCCAACAGCCAGAAGAAGTTTTCTGAGAATACCGTGCGGAAGCCTGTGAAATTACATAATTGGGTTGAAAAAGATGAGTACTTGCTGCATTGTGAATAATTGAAATACCTTCGAAATAATAAGACCTGTGTAACATTATACACATTCTGACATAGATTATCGCAGTCACCCTTGGTGAATGCTCGAACGCCGATTCCAATCGTGGAGGCACTGCAAGAAACCTCATGCGCAAACACAAAAATGTGTGACGTGGTGGAGAGCTGTGTGCTCCACGCTCGATTCGGTCTCACTGAGAATCTCAGAGAAGAAGCCTCGTCACGGCACGCTTTGTTTCCATTTAAGAATTCGGGCAGCTTCAATTGAGTGCAGAATTCACGTGGCAGGACGACAACAAGAACATTCCGTTGGCAACACACGGCCTTCTGGACTCTGCGGGGCAACTGCAGTCAGAACCGAAGCGCTGCGCATGCAAACGTTCAAACAACGCACTTTAAAGTAGGCCCTATTAGCTCCACATTGTGTCTACAAATATAGCCATTTACACAGTAACTTGTCCAAAAATTCACACCAATCGATTCATGTTCCATCTCGCCAACACGGAACGCACTTATGCTCAACACTGCATATCAATTCGAGACCTCTTTCCAGATGACCATCTTATTGTAAGGCGTTCATGACTTCGCCTATGAGATACAACGATACCTAGTGAAGACACTCACGAGTTGAACGCCAGATTATGCTCTTATACAGCTTAATGCCTAATAAAAGGTTTTCAAGCTACAAATTGAACATCATTCTGGTTTCCGCATCCATTTGCGCACGACCATGGACGCCGCGCTGTGGGAGCACCAGCGGGAGATCGCAGCCGTGGCGCGCCACCGCAGCGTGTTGGTGAGCAGTTCTCAGCCCGTGGGCAAGACTTTCATGAGCTGCGCGTTGTTGTCCGAGGCCGCTTCCTCAAATAGCACGCAGGTTAACGTTGTGGCAGTTGCCGCGTCGCCTTCGGGTCGCTCCGCTCTACAGACGCAGCTAGCGCGACTATGTGGACACCGCGTGCTCTGCAGTGACAGTAATACAGCCAGCCAGTGGCTGGGGGACCAAGAATTCGCTCGTAAGCAGCTACACAATGCACAAGTCCAGATCGCGATCTTGTCGCCGTTAATACTGCAGGAAATTTTGCGTAAGAAGACACTGGACCTGATAAATGTGGATCTGTTGGTCGTGAAAGACTGGGACCTGGTACATGCTGAGTTGCCGTCTTTCTTCAGCCTGCTAACGAACCTGATGGACGAGATGACGACAGCCACGACGCTGCGGATCTTCGCGACGTCGACGCTGCCAGCGTCCAAGATGGACTGGAACCCGGTGACTAACCCGTTGCTTAAGCATATCCACGTATTTAACATGTTGCCAGTGCTGTCGTCGACGTCTATGGAGCCAAGTTTCCCTCCGTTGCATTGCGAAGTATTCGAGAACAAGGACAAGAGCATAGAACAAGATGAGGTGAGTGTGAGGGACTTTTTGCTGGGTGCAAACGACAAGAAAGTGGACTTGGTGCACGTCTTTCGAATGGAGTTGGAGTTAGGGAATTCAGCGGCGGTGTATGATGAACGTAAGAAGCAGGACAAGGTGAACAGATTCATCCAAGACGCTGAAGTGGTCAAAGAACATTTGGGGCAGTGGTGTTTGTGGAAGTTTGTGGAGCTGGAACTGCAGGCTAATTTACAGGCGTGCATTGTGGACGATCCAGACAACGTCAACAACAGGAAAAAGCGTAAGCAGCAGCAGGAAGATGCCGTCGATGTTGACGACCCGATGGATGGAGAAGGAAATGACGACGAATTGGATTCAGATGAAGGTGGAGAGGTGGACGAAGAAGAGGTCGAGATGGTGGATAGCAGTAATGTAGAGGATAATACTGGAAAAGAAGGCATGTCGGCGCAAACAGTGAAGACAGATCGGCTGATTGCGAGATTCATTGGCAATGTCGGGATTGATGAAAGCACGAAGCTAAAAATTCGACCAATTCTGAAAGTGTTATCGTGGCTGTCTGCGCAGTCGAAGGTGTGTGGAACGCTGGAGGCCTCGTCTCGGCTGCTAAAGACTGCTGAGATTGTGCGGAATCGTTTTATTAATTCGCCGGGAACGAAGGAGATCCGAGCCTGGGTTTTCCTCGAACGACGATGTCACTGTCGTGTCGTCGCTGAGTATTTAACCGCTGCATTGGCAGATTTGGGATTGCCCCCGAGTTGTTGCATGCTTGGAAGTAGCAACGCCCGTATATCCGGAGCACTGCGATTTTCGTCGTTTCTGAAGGTGATGCAGATGTTTACAAATTATACGACGAACATAATGGTGACCACCTCTGTGGCCAAGAAATCGCAGAAATTGCGGATGGCTCCGCCGCCGTGTGACCTCGTTGTGGTAATGAACGAGCTACTGGAGCCGAACAAACTGTACGAATTTGGCAAGAGAGCAGATATCACGAAGGGCTTCGTCAAGTATATTACAGAGGACACAGTGCTGGCTCGCAAGAAGTTCGAAGGGCTTGTTCGCAAGATGCAGGAGTACGTTCGCCTCGAGCAGGAAAATAACCGAGTTCACGGTGTGATATCCGAACCGACTTCCAGTGCTACGACTGATAGTAGCAGCCTGCAGATGCCTCAACCCCCGTCCTCCTCGACAGAAGCTGCTGTATCAAGCTCAGACTCCACATTGGCTTCGCTGCAAGCAGAACACCGACTTGCTATCATCCCGAAACCAGTTCAACCTGTTGTGAATCCTTATGAGCTTGTCCATCGCGACACAGGGGCAATTCTGAACGTGACGAACAGCGTGTCGTGTTTGAGCAAATTCTGTGATACGCTCCCTGGTTTGGATACATACGACCGGCGCCCGCAGTATATCGTAAGGCGAATTTCTATCGTGAAGCACATGGCACCGTCGCTGAAGAAAGCGAAAAAGAAGCTGTTGAAGTACAATTCGAAGCTTACAGACAAAATCGACGCGCTGAAAGCTGAAGCAGAGCAGCGAGCCAACGCGGTGATCGACGAAAATGGAGATGAAAGCATAGATGGTGACGAGGAATCTACAAGTAGTGCATCTAGTGATGGGCGATTTCACTTTTCAGCAACATTAAAACTACCAGGCGCATTGGGTATTAAGAAGCAGCTTCATTCACAGCAAGTGGAAACCCAAGATGAAGCAAAGGGCATCGTTGCCTTCAAGGCTTGTCAAGAACTGCTGAAGAAAGGGTTGCTCGATCGACACTTCCGTTCCAAACTCTTAGACGATCAAGTGGCTACTATTCACAAAGATGACGTAGGAACGAACAGTAGTAACGGTGAGACTTCTACAGGTGATGATACGATCGTGCTTGGAGAAAATGACGAAACTCCCGCTCAACTTGCTGATCTTTCAACACAGTCATCGTATGACTTACCGCCAGTAAGTGCAGTGGAGTTGAGTTTACGACCTATCCGGAGTCTCACACGAGAGGCTGCCAGTAGCAGTGAGGAAGGAGAAGAGTGGTCGACGACAATGTGCTTTTACGGCCTCAGTGGAGCACACTACGCTATACTGGCGACCAATGAATTGTATACTGGCAACACCAACACAGGCTGGCGCTACGATTTCGCCACCAGCGGCGTCATGTCACCGGAGATCCAGCCAATAACACTGGCAAAGTATCCGATTAAACTTACTTTAACGAAGCAGGAGCTACACGATGTGCTACACTTTCATTTGGTGGTGATGCGTCTCGCATGTATGGGAGTACAAGACGCTGTGCGTGACGTGGACATTGCGAGTGACAACGTATGGAACGAATTCTCGGAACAGAATGACAAGGGATACCTGGTTGTACCGAGCGTGATGGATGAATCAAAGCAACCACCAACGCTGTCATTAGACTGGGACTATGTTCGTGAGATCATCGGGAAGCCTTTGCTTGAGCCTTTGTGGCCATTCCCGACTACGGGTGCTACTGGGAATGCAAAGGATCCAACCGACGAGTGGATCTGCGTTCCGACGTATCGCTTAAATGTCAGCTATGTCGTCGAGGCTGTCACTAATCGCACGGTGGATGATATTCGCAAAGAGTATTTGGCAGACGAACAAGCGTGGGCGACTCACTTGAAAAAGGGAAAGTCGACCCCAGGAAATCCGATCCTGGGTCGTTGGCAAACCCGTCAACAGCTCGAGGAAGCCGACGCAGATCAACCATTGATCCATGGCATCCAAGTTCCTCCGATCGTTCCCATCATTCGGAGAGTCATGCAGCGCAACAATGACGAAGGAAGCATTGCGCAATATAAGACCAAATTCAACGAGCGCTTGCTGATCCCGCAGTACACGTCGCGCCTGCGACTGACTAAAAGCCGGTTCTTCGATGCCATGGGACTAGTTCCGCTTCTTTACGAGTTCGAACGCAAGTGTCAGATATCGCATCTCATGGGGAAAATCGGTCTGGAGCTCGATATGACTTTGCTGGATGATGCAACCACAAAACCCGCTTACGAACGTCTGGAAATCCTCGGGGACACGTTCTTAAAACTCGAGACCTCGTGGTACATGTATGAACAGCGCAAGGATATCTATCAGGAGGGACAGCTAACACAGCTTCGTCGCGATATTATTCGCAACGACAGACTTAACCAGTTCGCACTGGCAGCTCGTCTTCACCACTACATGTTGTACCCGGCCGAAGTGGAGCAGCATCCTTTCCAGTGTTGGAAGCCTTCGTGCATGGGTAAGACACCTGACCCCGTTGTAGCTCCTGCGAAGTGGATCGCTGATGTCTTGGAGGCAATTACGGGTGCGTATCTGGTTGGTCAGGGAGAAAAGGGTGCTCGCTACTTCCTCAAGTGGATTGGTGTCAGTGTTCTAGAGCACCCGTCTACCAACTTCGCAAGACCCTTTTACCCTGATTGCTTTCCCAATGAGCTGTACGACGCAACAATGACGTCGGGTGGAGCTGAATACCCGCTAAGCTTGAATTTCAAGGTGCCACAATTCGAAGACCTCCCGAAGCGACTTATGCTGCTTCAGCAGCGTTTGAAGTACACATTTCGCAACAAGCGTCTACTACTGGAGGCCGTAACGCACCCGTCAGTTGGCCAGCTTGTGTTGCATATCGATCAAATGGATGTTAATGCTGAAGGGAATGCAGGAGGCGATGTTGAGGTTATGTCACGCTCTCAGAAGAAGAAGAAGACGGTGTGGAAGGGTGACTATGAGCGACTGGAGTATCTAGGCGATGCTTTGATCGAGTATCTTACCCTGTCCTACGCATTCTTAATGTACGATAAGTGGCTGCCAGGATCGCTTTCACAGTGGAAGAGTGCAACAGTATCAAACGATGCGTTGGGCAAGACAGCGCTGGCATGTTTTGGTGTAGACGAGTGCATTTTTGCTGGATGTGTTCGTATCGACCCCGAAACGATGGAACGTGTCGCTAATATCGAGCGGAAATATGCGCGTCCTGAAGCAAAAACGGGGTTGAGTCCAGCGTTTGAAGCTGTCGGGGTATCAAAGAAGAAGGCGAAGAGCAAAAGTGCCCCAAGTGGTGGTAACAGTCACACGCTGCCGAAAATGTTCGCTGATGTTTTCGAAGCTCTCGTTGCTGCGGTGTTCTTGGACTCGGGTCAGGATTTGCAACTTATCCGCGATGTTTTCATGGGCCCACTGCTGAACACGGTGGAGCAGGACGCCTACGCTTACGTGTGTCATGAAAGTGGACTAGCGATGGACAATGGAGGCGACGAGTTGATGGAAGATCTGGTGTTCTCGAGCGATGAAGAAGACTAACTATGAGCGCAAGTAAAACTGAGTCAGAAACGTCGGGAACTGATGAGTTGTAGGTGGAAAATTGACTTCAAGCTACATTCGCTGTGTCTAGCATGGTGTACCGACACTTACCATGCAGGTAAGACCTTACGTTTTTTTTTCTTATGGAATTTACTGCAGCTTGTCGAGAATACGCAGCCCCTGCTCCTCGTATTCACTCTTGAGCAGCCAGAAGGCGTCGTTGTCTTTCATGACATCAGCCAAGACACTGCCACCCTGGAACACCAAGTGTTTACGGCGAGGAGGGTCGTTAATGCGGAGACGGAACTTGCTCAGTCGACTCTTGTCGCCCTTGAGCACATCCGTCAGGTATCTTTGTTTGATGTCCTTCTCCAGACGACTGGGGAGACCCGGGTACATGCTGGAGCCACCCGACAGCACGATGTTCTTGAAGAATTCCGTGCGCAGATCGATGTCGGCCTTCATGCACATGTCGAACACCATGTCGCTCAGACCAGCACCTTCCACGTCGATCAAACTCGGGTTAAACAGCGCCTCGGGAGCCTCAAAACGTTCACGACCCAGACGCACCACACGACCATCAGGCAGTTCGTACGATTCCTCAAGGACCGTCGTCTCCAGGGCCAATTTACGCTCAGCAGCTGTGTCGTACGCCACGTAGCACCACTTCTCCTTTATCTGACGCGCCGTCTCGAAGTCAGCGGTGCGGTTAAGCGGGTAGCCACGTAGTAGCATGAGCTTGATGAGGTAGTTGGTAATGTGGCGACCAGCGACGTCCAGACGGCAGATGAGGTGCTGCGGCACGTAGCCCTGGAAGACCGGCACGACGTGTGTGACACCGTCGCCCGTGTCAATGACTACGCCCGTGGTGATACCTTGCGCGTATAGAGTGAGCATGGCCTGTGTGGTGATGTTGCAGCCTTCGAAGCCGTACTTCTCGAACATGGTTTCCACCAGTTTCTCACGGTTGCGCTTGGGGTTGAGCGGTGGCTCAGTTAGTAGGATGCGATGGCCCTTGGGGTCGATGGCCAGACGCTCCTTGAACGTGTAGTCCCAGAGCTTCTCCATGTCGTCCCAGTTTTTGACGATGCCGTTCTCCACGGGGTACGAGATCTCGAGGTTCGATCGCACAGCCGCGGCTTCATCGCCGAACATGATATCCTGCAACACAGAGGTTGAGAATTAGCTACATTTTAAGCAGTAAATGGCAGGGATTTTGATCGTACTTTGAGCAGGATGTCCGTTTGCACGGCTTCTTCGGCGCGTAGCACGGGGCGCCCCACGAGGGACGGGAAAATAGCCTTGGGGAAGTTCTCAGCGGCGAAGCCAGCCTTGACAAACTGAAGCAGCGTGGGGAGGTTAGTAGACGGATATACAAGTAATTACACTGCTGCAACGAGGTAAAATGACGCACCCCCGTGCCATTATCGCACACCACGATCTTGTTGGCGGCCACCATCGATGCGTTCACCTTGTAGGTCGCTTGACGCTAGAGCTGGCAATCTGACTCCGAGATTGAATTGAACTCCCCCTCAGCCCGTAATCGGTACAGTGTACCATTGCGCATCTGCGACATACCGTACTTAAGATGAGAGGCCACTGTACAACAGAAACGTGATACAAATTCCGGATGGGGGGAATCAAGTGGAGACTCTCCTGCAGCTGACGAGCATCTCCAGGGCCAGGGAAGTTCCGAGATGGTGGCAATGAACATGGCCAACGTGGAGCCAGGTGATGGCCATGATAAAGACAGTGCTGGTGGTTAAAATAGCGTTAATAACATTATGGCCGAGCGGACAACTCCACTCGGTTTCCTCTCTTTTTCTATCATACACGCCTGAGCGTGGTAAAGTGCCTACGTCTTCGTGCCGTGCGAGGACGCCGTGGCCAGCAGCTCAGACCATTCTGGCCAGCTTATATCATCTCGTCACCCCCCTCCGAAGCTACCTGCGCTCCATCCTTCTCTCAGAATGGATCGTGAAGCGCTGCGGCGGACGTGTCGCCGCTGCGCGTATAGCCAGCATCTCCTCCGAAACTAAAGAAGGAGACTGCGCAGCCAGGTAGTGAGGGGCGTGGCTTCACGCGGCCTGGCGCATCCGATGCGCCGTCTTGCAGTCTAGTCCGCAATACTGGTCGAAGCGGCTGAGTCCGCGCTGGAAACACTTGGAGCAGTTGGTACACCAGCGCTGCTCCTTGCTGGGCTCGTGGCTCTCCGCGCTCGTAGACGAACTCTGCGAGAACGTCATGGGCCGCCCGGCCGGCATGCAGTCGCTGAACTTGGCCAAGTGATCGAAGCGCGTGGACTCCGAGCCTTCGTTGCGGCGGATGATATCATAAATGTTGCGCTTGCTGCTGCCCGGGATCTCCTCGTCCTCCTCGCACACGATCGTGTCTCGGTGCTCGCGGTGGAACATGCCGCGCAGTTTGCCGCTCAGGTAAGTCAGAGACGTGAGCTTACGCAAGCGACTCACCTCCTCCATCGACTTGCTGGCACGCACAGGCGCGAACCGTCTGTGGCTGGGATGGAAGCTGCTGTGGCGGTCGGCCACCGGGTCCTCCTTGGCGTCTAACTGCAGCAGCCACAGATCCCCTCGTGTCATAGACTTCATGGTTGCTCTGTGTCTTGAACCTTGTGCAGAAGCTCCTAAAATTCCAACTGAGCCATTTGACCCGGGGGCTTACTTGGGAGAAAGGGCGGGGGGACGGAGATGGACCACATCTGCACCCGAGATAGATTATATTCGCGATATCGAATAAAAAGGTTTGGTACTTGTGTTGTAAGTAAGTATTGAAAGGGGTAAAAGGAGTTTAATTTATCAGATACCTGCTATACTCTATATCTGAGATGAGAAGGAGATGTGTAGGTGATGTGGTCCACACCACGCGGTAACTAATCTGATGAGCGATGTTGCTGGCGTGCGAGTGTGGGAACGCTCCAGGAGGGCAACGCGACGACGAAGTCTATCCAATGCTTTCGGCGTCGAACACGAACAAAGCGCTACCCAAGCGCAGCTCAGCGAGAATGGATCTATAGCCCCCACGCTAATGCTGCTGCCGCTTAAGGCAGAACGAGAAGAAAGCAACCAGGATTGGAATGGACGCCGGAAATCCCAGCTGGAAGCCTCCTGTTAATCCAGGTGCAGTAATTTGCTACATTTCCGGCCGCAGAGAAGCTTGGGAAGATGTCGCTTGGACGTTATTCTGATAATTTTGTGACGGCGTTTCCGCCGCCAATGCGTTAAGCTTGGTGGCGCTTTGAGCCTCAAGGTGGGCCGAGCGCTCTTGACCTAAATGAGCTATCGACAGCAAACGCGCCTGTCAGAGATCTCAATAATTGAGACCCAATTCAAGGCGTCTGATATCTGCACACGAACGCATAAGATTTGGCTCGGCATAAAATGCCTCGAGAAATCATGTGATGCATTTCTATCGCGTAAGCCAAGCCCATGCATTAGCAAGCGAGAAGGACTTTGGGCCAAAGTCCTTTAAAGTCTTTGGCCAATGCTCAGTATCAAGCTTATGCTGCCGGTGATGGCCACCAAGTTTGCGATCTTCCAACGATTGACGGTGCAGTGCATCTGGTCGAGGCGCAAGGCTTTCACCGTGAAGCCGGGGGCGTGAACTTCACGGTTCCCTTTCTGCGGCGGCGTTATCCGCGACAAACTCGGACGGGACAAAGCACATCGCTTCTGCGATCCTGCCTGGCTGATGGTTGAAGTGGCCCCAACCGTCAAAGTGAAGTGAAGTAAACCGCTGTATCCAATGCACTGCAACACCATCGACGACACAAAAGAAACAAGGCGCATGTGGTTGTTTATTTCTGTTTTCTAATACTGCTGTCTCGCTTCACTCTAGCACGTAACAAGATCTAAAGCTCATTGCAGCAGCTTCCTACGTCCGTCTACTGGGTCTTCTTCTCCCACTCCTCCATACGCTCCTTGAGCTCACGCTCGTGCATGCGACGGCCGATGAACTTGAGCACCTCGTCAATGAGAATCACCGGCAACGAGAACGCCAGCACCACGAGCCACTCCTTAAAGTCCAACGGGATGACACTGAACGTGTCCGCCAGCACGTCCACGTACAGGATCACAAAGTGCATGGCGAACGACACCACCATAGCGATCATCAGGTACGGGTTGGACCAGGGCGGCATCGTGATCAGACTGCCATCTTCCGAGAGCGCATTCAACGCGTTGAACATCTCGATGGCCACCAGCACAGAGAGCGAGAGCGTCGACGCCGTCTTCTTGCCGTCAGTGAAGTAGCGGCAAGGGTCCGACGAGAAGTCCATACCGTCGAAGTTGTTGACCGTGAAGTTCTCCCATTCGTGGCACTTGGTCCAGTGCGTCAGCTGGTCCCACGTGATCAGCGTGTGGCCATCGCCCGATGCCTCGTAGTACATGTACCAGTACGCGAACACACCGACACAGGCAAAGCCGACGTAGATGCCCACCACCATGTACCGGAAGAAGACCCAGCCGGTGATCAGAGCGTCATCACTGCGACGAGGCGGCTTCTTCATGATGTCAGCGTCAGGCGGGTTGAAGCCCAGGGCCGTGGCCGGCGGGCCATCAGTCACGAGGTTCACCCAGAGCAGCTGAACAGGGATCAGACCCTCGGGCAGGCCAAGAGCGGCCGTCAAGAAGATAGCGGCCACCTCGCCAATGTTCGACGAGATCAGGTAGCGGATGAACGCCTGCATGTTGTTGTAGATGGCGCGGCCTTCTTCAACCGCAGCCACAATCGTCGCAAAGTTATCGTCCGCAAGCACCATGTCCGAGGCCTCCTTGGCCACTTCCGTACCGGTAATACCCATAGCAATACCGATATCGGCCTGCTTCAGAGCAGGAGCGTCGTTCACGCCATCGCCAGTCATGGCCGCCACTTCGCCGAGCTGCTTCAGCATCTTCACGAGCTGCTGCTTGTGCTTGGGCTCCGTACGAGAGAAGACCATGCCATGGCCATCCGACAGGTACTGGTTACGCTTCTCAATGGGCAGAGCGAAGAACTCGGCACCGGTAAACGAGCGCGTGGACAGGTCGTCGCCGTCCTTGAAGATGCCGATCTTGTGACAGATACTCTCGGCCGTCAACTTGTTGTCACCAGTGATGCAGATAACACGGATACCAGCCGTGTGGCACGTCTCAATCATCGGGCGAACCTCGGGCCGCGGCGGGTCCAGCATACTGGCCAGACCAATGAAGGTCAGACCCGACTCAATGGCAGCAAAGTTCTCTGTACGTTCCAGCTGCTTGTGGGCCGGGTGGTGGCGGTCTCCGTCGTACGATGCCAAGTCTCCAAGGTCCTCCTTCTTGGCCAGAGCCAGACAACGCAGCGACTTGCGGGCCAAGCTCGACACCTGAGTCAGCAGCACCTGGCGGCCAGCGTCAGTCAAGGGCTTCACCGTGCCGTCACCCAGCTCAACGTGTGTGCAGCGGTCAATAAGACCCTCGGGAGCTCCCTTGACAAGAAGAACGTTCTGGTTTGAGGCTGACGAGCGAGTCGCACGCTGCGACGTAGCGCCAGTCTTGGCACACAGCACCGACATGGACTTCCGGTCACGCGAGAACTCCAGCACAGCCAGTTTCTTGTTCTGTTCCTCCAGATATTCATTGCAGAACTGCACGGCCTTCTCCGGGTTGGCCGCACGCAGCGACTGCATCTCGGCCTGCTTGACGCCGTCATGAGGGAAGCCGATCTTCTCCACCAGCACCTTCAGCGCAGCCTCAGTGGGCTCACCAATACGCACATACTTACCGTCGTGGTATTCAATGGCCGACTCGTTACAGAGCGCGCACACCGTGGCCAGCGAGGCCACAGCCTTAAACTGACCCAGAGGAGCACCCTCAATCTTTCCCATGGGCGCGTACGTGTGGCCTTCCACGTCGTACGTCACCAGCTCCGTCTCCGACTTGCCCACGTGCGAGAACGTCACACACGACATCTCGTTCGTAGTCAGAGTACCGGTCTTGTCCGAGCAGATAACAGTCGTGCAGCCGAGCGTCTCGACGGACGGTAATTTACGCACAATGGCGTTCTTCTTGGCCATCTTCCGTGTGCCCAGGGCCAGACACGTGGTGATCACGGCCGGAAGCCCCTCGGGGATGGCAGCCACGGCCAAGGCCACAGCGATTTTGAAGTAGTAAATGCAGCCTTTAAACACCGACCCGTAGATGGGGTCGAAGAAGTTCTTGTAGTTGATAATCCACACCACGATGCAAATAATGGCAATAACCTTGGACAGCAGCTCGCCGAACTCGTCCAGTTTCTTCGTCAGCGGCGTGTCTTCCTCTTCTTTGGACGCGTCCTGGACACTCTGCTGGATCTTGCCGATCTCCGTCTTCATACCCACTTCAGTGACCACTCCATGGCCCAGGCCATTGACCACCACAGTGGCTGCGAATAGCATGTTGGTTTTGGCCTGAATGATGTTCTCTGTGCCCTTAGGAAGCGCGTCGATGTCCTTGTTGACCGATGTGGACTCGCCCGTCATCTGGGCCTGCTCCACACGGATGGCCGTCGTCTTCATGGAAAGGAGACGCAGATCGGCCGGCACTTTGTCGCCCACACGGATCTCCACCACGTCGCCAGGCACGAGTTCGCGAGCGGGCAACGTCACCATCTCCCCGTCGCGCATGACGCGCGCGTTCTCGGGCTGTAGGTCCTTGAGGGCTTCAAGTGCGGCCTCAGCGTTGGACTCCTGCCACACACCCACGATGGCATTCAGTACGAGGATCACGAGGATCACGAGCGGCTCAACGAAGGCACCGATGCCTTCCTCCTCCCCATCGAAAATAGCAAGAATGAAGGAGACGACGGCGGCGCCCAGTAGGATCTTGACTAGCGCATCGTCGAACTGTTCCAGTACGAGTTTCCACAAGGGTGTTCCCTCCTCCTTGTCTAATTCGTTGTAGCCGTGCACGGCCCGACGCTTCTCCACCTCGGCCGTGCTTAGACCCTGCTCCTCCGTCACGCCCAAGTGCTTCAGTACGGCCTCGGGCGTCTCCAGCTCATAGCGAAAGCCGTCGTCCGCCATGTCTACAGGTTTTCCACTCCCCCCTATTTGGTGTGCTCTTTCTTCTGGAAAATCAAAGTGGTGTGCCGCGTGGCAAAGATTGCCAATGGACCCTGTGGAAACAGATGGGAGCGGTTTTGAAGGGAATCAGTGGAAAATGCCAACATAGGGTCGGCACAAAATCCAACGACTAGTTTGAACTTGGTTTCAGTATGGGAAGTGGACCGTGTTTTGCAACAGCCAAAGGTCGCCACGGCTCAGGACGTCGGTTCGAGAACAAGGGTCGAGTGCTATGCACCAAGTGATCAAGGCAGCGCAGGTGTCGCGGATTAACTTCGGGTGGTTCCCCTGAGGAGCACGGTGGACCTCCGTGCTCATGCGTACTCTAACAGCGATGTTGCTCCAATTCAAAGAAGAAAAAAGTGGTGCATCAACGCATTTTTTTTTCCGTTTCAAAGTTGGTGACGTACACGCTGTGCTTCAAGTCTAAAAATAACAGTTAAAAACCTACCTGGTTATCTAGGTAGACTTTATTAACCCTTCTTTTCGAAACAGTTCGTATTGGTCTAGTCGGTCGCATGCCTATCATGAAGTACTGCAGCGAACGTCTCGTGCTGTAGCTCTGGATGACGGGCTCGTCATGACAGTGGTGGTTTCGCTGCTCGAGTCATTCTCGCACACTACGTAATATAACGTACAGAACTGCTTCAACTTGTACAAGTGGCTCTTGTAAGCAGTCGACATTTTATATTCTTGACATGGGCTGCCCCCTTCCTATTGAGCTTGCGAGGTGAGGTGGCTCGGCGCGTCAGCGAAGTAGGTTTGCAGGATAAACGCGCGCGATAGGAGGGGCTCGATCTCGTTTTCAACCCAGTCCTTCGTCGGGAGGCTTTGCAAAAAGAGAACGAGGTCCTGGAACTCGAGCGTCTTGAGTTTCTCACCAAACGTCATGAGAATGGCAGCGCAGACGTACACGTGGAAGCTCTCAAAGCCCGAGTCTTCACACAGATAAGTATCCCAGATGCGCACGATGCCATCCAGTGGCAACTCGCGCATTAACAAACAGTTCATCCAGCGGAACGCAAACTGCACGAACTGCACGTTCTCGCGCTCCACGATATGCTCGAACAGTTCTGTGTCGCATCTGTGGACGAGTTCCTCCATGCGCTGCACCATACGCTGTAGTCCTGGCTGGGCGAACGTATAATGATCTTGAATGTCGTCCAGCAACTTCGTCAGGCACCAGTAGCTGTCTGCCTCGACAATTTGCAAATTCTCGTCCGATACTTTCGACAAGTCACACCTCTGCGGGTCATCTGTATCAAACGAAAATAATAATTAGGACGTTTTAGTAAAATAAAATGAAAAACATGATAACTTACCGACGAAAGCCGACAGGAAGACGACTAAGAACGGCGTCATCAGGTCGTTGATTCCCTGCACGTAGCCACTGGCTGGGTGTCGGATTGCCCAAATGTACAGAACACGTTCCATACACTACATTCGCACAAGTACAGCAAGTCAATTTTTCACTGTCATGGTGATAATAGAAACTCTTTCTTACCTGATGGATGCGCTCGTTTTGGAAGAGCCTTACATCAGCATTGGTGCGTGGGATATCGACGAGGATCTGTCGCAGTGTGGTCTGTTCACGTGTACCCCGATCCGTGTCTGGGATGTAATAATACTGCTGAAGCAGCTCTACGTATTCCTGACGCTTTCGCTCCAACATGGCAGCACGTCGATCCTTCTTCGACGGCATATAACCCTTCAATAAACACATTAGTGAGAGGTTTATCGTATCAAACAAACCGCACCGAACTACATACCAACAGAAGCCGCCAGACAGTTGGCCGATAATTCGTGGGGATGCCACCCCAGCTGAGCTTGCGCAGTTGATCCAGATCGACGACTTCCTTCTCCAACAACTGCTCAAACTGCGTGTAGCGTAAGTTCCCAGAAGCGTTTCGTGAATTCGAGCCAGACACTAACGGAGTTCCCGTAGCACTAGGGTTCCCCTTTCCGCCATTATGAGTGTGATGATGTGAGTTTCCTGACGTTGCATGCACCTCCTGCTCTAGCTCATCTTCGTGCAACGAGTGACGCCCCCGACGAGCGTCGAGCGCCCTGGACAGCGCGTCTTCACTCTCGCTATCCGCGGCCGACACGCTTCGCAATCGCGGTGAGACTGAGTCAACAGGTGACGACATTTTCCTGGTATAATAAATAACAGCAACATAAGACTTCCAGCATCAATAACAACTTTTTTCCCCAACTCCGTACACACCTCGGTGGGGCTGGGGAGGGCGTTGCCCACACTGGGGGTAACTGGCCCGTGTTCACTTGCTTTACCGATCCTGGCAACGCTTGTGGCTTTTGCTGTGTCGCAGCCTTGCTATTACCCCGCGAGAAGAAGCCCGACGTCGCCGCGTTGCTGAGATTGGCAGCAGCTGCGCGCTCCTTCTTCTTTTGTGCGAACTTGTGCAGCGCAGACTTGAACGGGTTGGACGTCGCTCCCTGAGGAGGCGACGGGATCGGCTACAGCAATTGCGGTGAGTGTCATAGCGACCGTTAATCACGAGGTTATCTAACGCCGCCAATGACAATCGTGGCATTGTGCAGCTTCAACAGCTGGCAGGTGAGTCAATACGCACCATATCTTCGCTGGAAGGCTGTCGATCTTCTGTAGCTTCCATCGGCACAGTGAATGGGTCGTCTCAAGCTGCGCGGTGGCTGGATTCGGCTGGGTTGATGGTGCAGTTGCTGCTGATATCTCAAGAGCTCCCCAAAGCGTGGCAGTTAGCTTCACGGTCTGGTAGAATATTTGCGAGATTTTCACGTTAGCAGGCGTGAGAGTGCTTTGGGGAGATGAAGAAGCGCTGCAGCTCCCGGAACACACGTCAAGACCGAGATAGAGCTCCCTCCACGTACCGAATGTGCGCCGGATTCCACGCACAGCCCTGCCCGTTTTGTATGAGGAGCCGGCGGAAGTGGTGTGGCAGACGCAAACTATGTGTGGTGGACACCATGGATTAACTCCGATTCAGTGCAGTTGGAAAACCTTATTTTAGGATAAGAAGCCAGCTGAGACTAGGATGGGTACACTTATCTTTGAGACGATACCGGTATAGATATTGTTGCTCGTAAAGCACTGCACAGCGCATTGCACGCCTGCCTGCATCGAGCTGTTGCTTATGCGGACGCGTAGCAGCCTTCTACTAGAAGGCGAGTCTGCAGTACAAACTGCACCGTGCAGTGCATTTGCAAATTTGGCTGCTGGACGGTGCGAAAGTACCAATGTCGGTTTCTCCCGTAACTGCTTGGCACCTTATCTTACTCGGTCTGCTCTGGGGCATATCCCTGCGTCGCTGCTCGTCAGAGCTCGGGAGGCCGGAATCGCAGCCTGCAGTCTCCTCATTACCAAACAAGTCGCACTCATACGCGTACTGGTTTGCCATACCTTGCATGCTATACCTGTATTTCTCAGCCGAACACCAACGTTCAGCGTAGGACAGCGAGCTGGTGCAATACCGAGCATGTACAAGTAGAGCAAATACGCGTACAAGGCAGTGAGACTTGCTGCACTTGCACGCAGCTCTCAGTGCTGTAACCAAAGCGACGACCCTCGGGCCGATAGCATCGGCAATCTGCTCCAAGATGAATCAGACTTGCTGCACTTGCACGCAGCTCTCAGTGCTGTAACCAAAGCGACGACCATCGGGCCGATGGCATTGGCAATCTGCTCCAAGATGAATCAGACAAATGCTCGAGCATGATTCGCATCGACAATACGGCAGCAGACATTGTCCACTGTCGCCCCGTCCGCTACACATGTTGAGGTGGTGGCGGATTTGAACCGCGGAAAATCCCGCTGGCGGCAACGAAGCTGACGTACATGAACCCGACCATCAGAGACGAGCTTGAGCACGGCGCTGCAGCTGTCAATTGACGAGGCAAACGATATAACACTTGACCAGTTCTCGCCGCTGCACGCGGTCCAGCAAATGGCGCCGAGGAATGAGATGTGGACGACGCCATGAAGCAACGTTGTTGTCAAATTCGAGCAATTCGTGCGGGACATCACGGGGTCGTACAGCACCAAGATGGGGGCAGCCAGGCAGCATTGTTGCAGCCAACCTGAGCTGCGACGCCCTCGGCTCGTTGCCAGCGGCTTCCTCGGCAAGAAGGACCTCGCTCCCCATCGCGCGCGCCGCTCTGCGAGCAGAGTTCATCGGTGTGCTCACTGCGCTGGCGCACTGCACTCCATAATCCTCACGGATGGCCATCTGGATGGAAGAGGCCATCTCTACTGCAAAATTTGAAAATCTACTGCAAAATTTGGGCTGGGAGGGCGCCTTTCTCCGCAATCGAGATTACTTTTGGCTCGGCGATCAAATAGGACCCCCGATTAAGTACGAGGAAAATCTGTATTTTCTCAACCCAACCTGCACCAGAATGCGGCTGTACCACGAATATTCGGCTTTTAGTCTTGGCGTTTGTAAGCTGAAGTCGAATATTTGCGCTCCGACTCCGTGACGAGCCGACAACGGCAAATTGTCACACAATCGCACGACCTTGACAACGCAACAACCATCACTCCTGGTCGCAGCAGGAAGATTCTTGTGAAAGAAAGGGCTTGATTGCGGAGGAGACAGCGGAGATCTCTCTGCTTGCCAGGCGGAGACCCTGGCACCAAGGTGCTCGATGTGCCGCGCAGATGGAGAAGCTCGCAGCCGGCGTTGCCCTGCAGCAGTGCGCTACAGGCGCCAGACGACCTAAGCTCGATCTTTGAAGCAAAAAACGTCGAAGAAGTCAGCAGGTATCTTTTTTAAAAAACCTCGGTTCCAGAAAGCTGTGTGGCGTACACCAAAGATCGGAGCCATAGCCGGGACTTCAACCGAGGTTTTTTTACATGCTTACCTCCGCCTGCACTGTGCAGCTCGCACGCACATCAAATCCAGCGGCCACAAGGGAAAAGGAGTCGGAGGAGGCAAGCCCCCTAAAAAAATACGAGAAGCGTCGATAAGCAGCAGGAAGGGAAGTGACCAGGATCACCCCGCACGTAGAGAGCACTAAGGTATGGTTTGCGCTCCAACTCATCCCACCCAACGGCCGGCAAAAACGGCCTGTCGCCTTACAGTACAGCTCCGCTAACTTTGCTTTACCGCTCCCTGTCGCTTAGAACACCTTTTTTCCATTCACGCATAACGAGCAAGCGGCAGTCATGACCGATTTTATCCGCACCATTTGGCAGAATACCGCTAGTGCCAACGGCGCCCAGCAGCGGAAGACCACGACGGAGGCCGTTCAGCCCGTGGACCAGATCCGCCTGCCGCCGCCGGCCGCAACCCCCTCGGTGTCGGCCAGCGAGCGACTGATCAAGCTGGAGCCGCCGTCGTCCCCAGCCACCTCTTCGTCCGCTTCCGACTCGGACTCGCACTCGGGAAAGGCCCAGCGCATGGCCCGCGTGAACGCGCGCCGCGACAAGCGCAAGCCGCTCGAGGCAGCCGACTTGACCCACGCCAGCGCCAGCAAGAAGCTCAAGACAGAGGCCACTCTCGACCCCAGCGGCGAGGAGCGTCTGCGTGCCATGGAGGCGCAGCTGGAGCACCTGGACCCGGACTCAAAGGAGGCCAAGAAGAAGCGCCGTCTCATCCGCAACCGCATGTCAGCTCAGCTCCACCGCGAGCGCAAGAAAGCCTACGTGGGCCAGCTCGAGGACCAGCTGCAGGCCAAGGAGAAGGAACTCAAGGCCCTGCAGGAGCAGCTGGCGGCCATGGCCGTCGAGAGCGAACAGCTCAAGCAGCAGCTCGGCCGCAAGGAAAGCATGGACCAGGAGCCGCAGATCAAGGCTGAACCTGTACCACTCGAGAAGGTTGTACTCCCTGAGTCTGTGGTGGTACCCAACGAGCCGGCAGTGGACTGGGCCGCATGCCTGGAAGACATGGACGAGGCCATGGTCGGCGAGGACCTGCTGTGTGACTTAGACGAGTCTCCCCTGGCCGCGTACGGCCTCACCCCGATCAGTGAAGACCCCGTGACGGCCGCGTTGGCTGAGGAAGAGCAGCGCCAGAAGATGCAGGCCCAGACCCAGTCGCACCACGAGATCCACGCGGCCAAGAAGAACCTGGCCATGATGATGGCCATGATGTTCTCAGTCACATTCTGCGGCCAGAGCGAGTCGGTGGCCAACGTCACAAACGGCAGCAACTTCTCGTCCATGTTCAACGCTGTACCCGTGAAGGAATTGTCCCAGATGAGCATTGCTTCACGCATCGTGGCCTGCCTCGAGAAGACGACGTGGGAGGATTTCCAGGACGTGTCTTCGTGGACATCCTCGGCCGCCAGCGCCGCTGCGGCCGCGGCCATGGCCATGACGGCCGACAAGAAATCTCGTGCGCAGCAGGCCAACTCTCCTTCGGCCGCTTCAGACGTGACAGACTCGGGCTCGTGCGCCTCCCCCAAGGAGCTCGAGGACGTTGACATGAGCTTCGACACTGACCTCATCGAAGAATTTGTATACCCAGTGGACGAGCCGTTCGCCCCTGCTCTGGCTGACACCAACTGGTTCGGCGCTGACAGCGACGAGTTCGGCCACAGCGACGTTGAGAACGATGACGAGCACGTGGAGACCAAGACGACGGTGAAGCCTGTGTCGATGACCTCGCGCCTGTATGAGAAGCTGACGAAGCTGTGGAACGAGAAGAACCAAGTGCTGTTGACTGTTCTAAACGGCAAGAACGAGGTGACTCGACGCTCTGTGGCTGACATGAGCACGATCCGCAAGGGAATGTCTACTGGGGCTCTGTTCCCGACCACGGCGGCCAATGCGGCGGCCACGTCGAACGACAAGTTGCTCGAGAAGCACGACCAGTCGGTCACGTTCCTGTACCCGCTGAGCGCGTTCTCGGAGGACCAGCGCTCGGCCGCCTTCCCCAATGGTGCCTCCTCGGACCAAGTGTTCCTGGAGGTGTCATGCCAGATCAATGGTGCGGTTAGCTCCGTGCTATAGAGGGAGTGGCGAGGTAGGTAGACATTCAAGTATTAGGGAGCGCAAGCTTCGACTTCATATTTCGATGTAGTGTAGTTTCTTTATCTATCAGGAGAACCATAGAGCCAAAGGACAAGGCAAGATAATGGTTTCTTTGCTTTATCAAATCCGATGTTGTGTCATGCTTCGTATTGTGCCTTCTGCCGAAACGGCCTCCGAATTAAGGTCCTACTAGTTGTACTTTGTACGTTGGTGGGACTACGTTTGCCCCTTCATAGGCTCTACGGTAGGTCCCCTTAAATCATACCCTGGGAGGCAGTAAACAGGGGAGTCGTTACTGCAACCTATGTACGACAGTACGTTATTGCGCTGAGAGCAACCCACGCGGACTTTGTGTTGCAGAGTAATTTATCATGTTTTATCTTTCTCGAAAAATCACGAGAGCAGAAATCTAAACTTTGTTCCTTTAAGTACGAATACAAGTGGCCTCTCATTTCTAAACGGGAGAAAACGGGAGAAAGCAACGTCGCAGAAGCACTGGCAAGGATGACGACGCCGGACGTGCAGACACAGGGAGGGAGCGCCGCCACAGACGAAGGAAAAGGTAAAAGCCTACATTGTGTAGATCGTGTCAGCTGAGCCTGAATGCTGCGTATCTATGCAGGGCGCCGCGCTGGTTTGCGAGACCAAAAGCCAGTCGACTACATTCGTGCAGCTCAAGGGTTCACAAAGGACTCTAATGACGACGACGATTACGTCGATGACCCGATGGACACGTTAGCAGACGCTGCCACCGAAGATGCAGACATGCAGGAACTGGTGGAGGAGAACGACGGTATAGCAGCCAATGCTGCCGCTAAAGTTGCACCGGCAAACGTGTC